GGTATGTATCTGATGTAGGCAGCAACACAAGTGATCCAGTGGTAAAGCCAAAGTGTGGCCCTTGGTGGCTGTGGTAGAAACCGCGGAAAAGTCGATATTCTCGTCCCGTACGCGATAATATTTGACAATGACAATCAAGTTATCAACCGTTTGGTGGTCAAACGCCCAGGGTGGATCTGGGATTGACTTCTGGTTTGCTGTGGTGGAGTCTGTAGTGCTGATTACGGTGGATTTTGTGGTGGCCGTGGCTGGGCGATGCTTTGTACCGGGAAAAGAACCCAGCTGTCACCTTCCAAAGATAGATTAAATTGAGCTAGAAATCCATGGTCGAAGTCATCAACTGGGAGTCTTTTCGTAGAGCTCAGCCTCTCTGTCTAGCTTTGTATGTTCATGGATAGCCACGCAATCAACTGCTGTTTTGTTAACTACTAGGCATGAAATTGGCAGGAGCCCATGGTTATTATTAATAAGAGCTACTTACTAGTTCTGTCATTGTGCTGTAGATCAATATCTGACTTCAATTCTCTCAATAACGGGTCAATTTGACCTCTGACAACCCTTCATCATGAATGTTAGACATTATTACCCTGACATCAGAGCTCAGTCATACTTTAAGCTAAGTTGCGTTCAAGGCAAGACTTTGAATGTAAAATATCCATCGACAACTGTGCTGTTGCAGCTGTAGATAGATATTGAGCGTGCGCTTCTATCCAGCAGTTCATCTACAAGACATGGTCCACTCGACGACTTGAACCGCCGTATGGTTGTACTGCTAATTCAACGTTCCAGAGGCTCAATACCAACGGGACCAAACCATCCCAGTCAAGGCGATCAGATGCCAGCGGCGAGCCACGGTGAAGTTGGACGGTTGGGCATGAGCCCTGACTGTTTGGCGTTTACTGTCGAGGGGTCTAGGCTGGCTATCTGCGTCGTAGTTGGCTCCATATCTGACAAGCTGAAACATGAATCTCAGAGATGTGGGGAAAGACACGAAATTACTCGATCTTGAGTTTACGACCCAGGCTCATGGCCGAGAGTCAACACGGCATTGCCGCTCCAGTGCGAACCAAGTAATAATACTGACTTGACCATGCCATGGACGTGGCGAACAAGCGGGACAAAGTCTGTGAGCCATAAGAAGAACCGGTTCATGAGCTCTGGACTCCGCAAAAGATAATGTCCTGGGTCTGATTCAAGAAATTATCGGGTCTGGATTGTCAATCATCTCGGAGGAATGGCAGATAGGAATAGGCACTTGACCCACCCATGTACCTTCACCCTCTGCGTCATTGCTTTAGTAGAAGAGGTTCATCATACTGACTTGAAGTCTGAGATGGTTATGACACAGTTATGGAATGATGGTTGCAGTTGGCAGCCAGCCCAATGAATCTACAGCGATTCATAGGCCAGTTGGGACAGAATGGGCCACAATACTCCGCCATATTTGTACCTTAACCATGATGCTGACCATGCAAATAGAATGATTCATCATAAGCGGCCAAGTATATCAAGCATATCATGATAATGTGGGAACGCTGATGCGTCTGTTCCATGCAACAGGCCCATATTATATAATTCTACTGTTTCATTTGCAAACGACTTCCCGTGTCTGTAATATCTTTGCTTCAGGTTTGACAGTGTCCCTCGGAGCTGGAATTGTCATGGAACCTAGATTTCAAACGGTCGGGATATCGTTGGGTACTCTGGCCAGAACATGCTGTAGGTCTTTGTTGATTGATGTATCTCAGTGGCCAAACAGCGCCATCTCTCTCAAACTCAGTAGGCACAATGTGTTTCGATAGCATAATAGAGCGCCCAACGAGATACCTAGCTGAATACTCTGCCACTCATGCCACACTCAGTAGAGTACCCTCTAGCGAGAGATGCAAATAGGCGAGCCTGATCAAAGACAGGGATGATGCTTGTCTCGAAGGCAAATCATGCCACAACTGTCTAATTTTGTGATCTATGACCCAGATGCTCCGAATTGTCCTTGTTAACTGACAGGTCTGAAATCTCTTATCATGTTTTCCTCTGCTTCCATAATGCTGTATAAAAAGGACGCATAAAAGAGAGGGGTAGCTTTGTTATTTGACAAAAGCGAATGAAAGCAGTGTGAAAGAGGACGGTCCATTGTCTAAGTGAAGATGCTAGTTTCAGAATCAATCTCCAAGAAATGTCGTGGGTGCTACTTTTGTTTCACACAGAGGCTATGATCAGTTATTCATTGTCTGCATCATCTGAATCTCTACGCAGTCCTAATGCATCATCTCAAAGAAATCAGGCTTATGCCTTTCAATGCTGAACCTTGGGAGACATTCTCTGATATACCTCCCTGCACAAATTTGACAAAGCCATATTTGAAAGCAAGCGAACCATCTGATAATTCTGTACTCATTTCGGATACCTTCTTTCATTGCACCTTCGCAAGGCTACAATGAAATAGCATCCTAGGTCCTATTTTCAGCGTTCATTCAACATGGCTTTGATTCACAATAATGACAAAGGACAGACTACGGAGCAAAGCAAGCAGTCAAGTCGCAATGGCTGTCATGACAGGCATAAATCTTCAGGATTATTTCCTGTCGAGAATCGCATTCATGCCCTGAGTCTCTGCACTGGATTGATACGACTCATATTACTGCAACAAGTGGAACATACTTGTCTCATCAGGTTCATCATTACCTTGTCTACTATCCAGGACGACCTATTCTGCATCTGCAGCCGCAAGTATATATTACCGGCCAGGCTTGTGTGCGCGAAATGGCGAATCAGCCCACACCCCCTTCAGGCTCTCTTCCTGTAAGTCCTCCTCTAACGTACATAATCTTACGGAGAACTGATTTAAAGCAACTCCCAGCAGCAAAGCGCTGTATCCGCGGCCTGGAAACATGTCTCCCTGAAGCCAAGCTTGCCCACAAGAGGCTTTGACAACAATAATGGACAGAACCTCTGCTACCGGAATGCAGCCCTCACGCTGTTTCTCCACACCCCACAGTTTCTAAGCTGGTGCGAGAACTACTGGGGGCAAAGCACGAGTAATTCAGTCCCAGACGTGGTTCGCAAATTGTACGACATGTTCATTACCTACTGGCAATGTCCCAACCGACATGAGCAGGCCATGGAGACCTTGTGGACAGAACTTCAGAGTCCAAAGTACGGCCAACTGTGCTGGCAAACAACCCTGGGCCAGCAGCATGACACCCTTGAGATGCTGGAAAACATCATCTCGCTCCTCCAAAGGCACACAAGCCAGCCCTAGTAAGTCGCGCACTTTCCACGTCCCATAGAACATAAATATCATGAAGCTGACACATAAAGCAATGACGAGCTCATGGATTTGATGACCGTCGTACTGAGCGGGTGCCGCGTTTGCAAGACATGCAAGCAGAAAGACTCAACAGCTGGGGATAGGGTACGGTACCTCAGTGCAAATCTCCCAGGCTCCAAAACAGCTACCCCCATAGAGGAGGCCATCATTAGTGGCATGAAGTCGGAGACTCTTGCGGATTGCAAGACATGCGCCACTAAACAGATCCCTCATGAGATTCAGACTCAGATAGTATATCCTTCAGAAATCCTTATCGTTCAGGTCAATCGATACAAAGAGTCAGGGAAACTGAAAGACGAAATAGAAGTTCAGGAAGAGTTAGTCATTCCAGATTCTCTTCTAGATGACAGTGTTAAGGGACAAGGCAAGATCGGTTACGAGCTCTATGCTGCCATCTTTCATATCGGCGATGACAGTAAAAGCGGACACTATACTGCGGCCGTCAAGGGTCCCTCTGGTCGATGGGTGATGACCAACGACAACCGCGTGACGTTTACCCAGATATTGGAAAAGAGCATGAGCTCGCCAGATGCTGGAAAGGAGAATGCTTACATACTTGCGTATCGGCGACTGGAAACCCGGAGAAATTCAGCTGACTCCAATACAGGTTCATCAGCCGCCGTCACGTCCTCCAGCCCCAAAGCATCAACCATTGGCCAGAGCTCGGCCCCTTCAGGATATATCAATACCGGCTCATCGAATGCATCAAGCTCAGGAAAAGGGTCGGTCAAGGGTGGTGTACAAATGAAAGGGACCATTGAGCTGGAAGGGAGACCAATCCAATGGACGATCAACCAACAGCTGCTCCTAGACCCAGGTAAAGGTGCACTTGTAGCTCTGGGGCCTCGAGCAAGAACGCAGCGTGCTACTCTGCAGCTGACGTTCACTTCAGAAGAAACCGGCGAGATCCTCGACGGACAAGTCACCATTTCGCTCAAACCACGGGGAGTGCAGAAGCCAAAGAGAGCTCCTTCAAGGACTGCAGACACCAAAGGTTCCAGTGCTGGTACCAAGAAAGCAACAGACACAGTGTCCGGTAAAGCAGCCAAGCCGAAAGGTGTCACAAAGAAACCTTCGAGTCCGCCAAAAGGAACCCGTCAGTCGGCGAGACTACTCAGTAAAGTCAAAAAATGAAGAGTGCAAAACCACATCCACTGGGTATAATACGCATAGTAAGTATACGTGGTTGGAGCTGATGTTGACATTTTCGCCCCTGCAAGGATTGCGGTCCTTTTTGTTCCTTGTGTAACTGTATTGCGGATGTGTTTTATGTATGATAGGCAATGCTTACTTATAACTTGTTGACTTCTTTTACATTGAAGTCCAGTGCCTGTAAAAAAGCGAGATAGTCATAATTGTTCTTATGGCAAGTGGGGACTTAGTCGACGACACCCGAGCATTTCAATCGTCTATCAGGACAAGCTGAGAGCATCCATCAAGCATACGTACTTCCATGGAGTTAGCGCTGGAAGATGATCACAGAAGCCTACCTTCAACTACCCAGTTCATTGACCGACTGATTTTACAACTCGCATCATGTAGACCCGAGGTGCAGGATCCCGGCGATGGGATGAACCATCCCACCATACGTCCTCAACGACACACTTCCACAAGCCAGTCACCTTTCTCTTCCCTCCCCGACGCTCAATTATCTCAAGTCAAGTCAGTTATGCTGACCTTGCACTGTTTCTTCCCAAATGAACTCCTCCTGGCCCTAGATATCCTGGACCGGGGACTGGTCAGACGATTCACGCGGGATGACCACGTCGGGGAAGCATCTGCATGCTCACAGCCCCAAGAAACCGAGCCCAGAAACGCAGAAGGGCCGCAGGAAGACATGTTCTATGTCATATCCACGTCTGTGGCTGCGCCGACTTCCCCATCCCGGGCTCCGCGGACACGCGTAGAGCCAAAGGGCTACGAAGTCCGCCTGCACGCCTGGAACTGCACATGTCCCACCTTTACGCTCAATGCCTTCCGCGATCTGGGACCGGCCTACACATCTCAGTCTGAGGGAGAAGCCGAAAACGAGACCCTGGCTGAACCATCTCCCGTCGGCGACTACCCGACTCGCCGCTATGTTTTTGGCGGCTCGTTGACCCGAGGGGCTAGCCGACTCGCACCCCCTGTCTGTAAACACCTTCTCGCGTGCTTGCTGATGGTGCGCTGTCCTCGACTCGTTAGTAGCGGCAACCGTGGCCAAGCTGGTCCTGCCTTTCTGACTTGCGAGGAATTGGCGGCGTGGTGTGCGGGTTGGGGTGGATGATTCTCGCAACCACGCAGACATTGATCCGCGAATATCCCTACGCCTCTGTCCTTGGAAGGCGCTACGGTACTATGATACAAGAATTTACTTAATCCCAAAGTCTTTCAGTTGTGCCTGTCTGTCCATCTGCCGGGAAATAGGCTTTCAGTCTGCCGCAGATACCAGAAGTCAGGGAGAGCCTCAAGCTTCGAAGCATTTGACGTCGACGCAATTACGGACACCGCGCTTTCAATGCGCAATATCATAGATACTTCCAGAAAGAAATCTAAGGGGAAGTATCCACTTACGAAATTGGCGGCTTGTCTACAGTCCAGCATCCGATGGCGTGTTATACCGCGAAGGAATGAATATTTCTAAAACTGCTCGAGCTCGCTTGAGTACGTGCTCGGAACGAGCTCGATTCTCAGATTATCGTAATATACACTTCCATGCATAAACTGAAAATGGTTTAAATTTCATGTCAGTTGTGCCATTGTTGAATGACACTTCTAGCTCTTCTTCTTCGACTTCTCCTGGTCCTCCTTTTGCTCGCCGTTCATGCTATTTGCCTTCTTCGCACCCTCCTTGTCACCTTTGGCAGCATTTGCTTCTTGCTCCTTCTTCGATTCGTTCTCTTCTTGTTGTTGTCGGTTCTGTATCTTGTTGTCAATCAAATCGTGGAAGGCGGTGATAGCACGAATCAAGCTGCTGATGTAGATGGCCATCAGTTGATCGTTGGTCTTTATGCTCATCGCCCGCGCTAGTTCACTGTTCTCCATCTGTGGTTCCGACCCACTCAGACGCGACGTGGTTGCTGGGGTAGATAGGTTGGGAAGAAGGTTGAACACATCTTGAAGATTGCCAAGAATAGCGTGGTTGACCGGCAGCTCGTGATCGAGGACCTTCTGGAGATATTGGCCGATATCACGCAGGCGCAAGTGCAGACCCTGCAGCGACTGAAGCTGCGATGTTATGCGTGTTGAAAGGGTTCCAACGGCAACGTCCCTGATGTCTCGAAGCAGGTGTTCAACACCGATTTCCTCAGCCTCCTCGGCCTCGATCACTGAAGGGGTATGGACAAACGTTCTGGACGTTGTTGTGCCATCCTATGTAGAGCGAGCGAACCTGTTAGTTGGATATGATTGAGGAGCTCACAAGGGCATCGCACGGAGTCAACCTACGTCCTTGATCTCGTCAACAGCAAAATAGGCATCTGTGGGAACGCCAACTTCCTTTGGTTGGACGTCGACAATGACCAGTAAGGGATTCGGTGTGTATCGCTTGAAGAGTTCATTGATCTCAAGATCCGAGGCTCGTAATTTAGGACCCGAGTGATACCATCCGACAAGCTTCTCGCGGGCGTTGATTTTCTTGAACATGTCTCTCATGGACTCAACGAAGTTGTGATCTAAGAACCAAACGGAGGGATCCTTCTCATCTTCCTCAAATGGAACTAAAAAATGAAGTCATCAGTACTGCCGTCCATCTACCAGGTAACATAACCAAGCCGATTTGGGAGACGACGGACCTGCAAAGCTGTTGGATACTCGAACGGTCTGGCCCGAATTCTCTCCGAGCAGCACACCAACAACACGCTTCCGAGTTCCCTTGGCTGACCGTCCATAATGATCTGCGACTGAAAGAAGGACTAAGGGAGCTACCGTGACGGTGCGCGTGACGAGGGAGAGTGTGTCCGCCGTGGTGGCAGGCATTGTGGATCGGATCAGATGAGAATGATGCCAGAAGGAGGGAGGGTACTGGAGGCCGTGGACTGATCACAGACGCTGATTCCGATTGCACGAAAGACTGTGAATAATTGAGCAAGCGATGGAGAGAGGAAAGTGATCTGGGGATGAGGATTGGAATGAGAATGAGGAGGATTATGATGATGACGGAGCGAAAGATGGAGCTGCTGTTGTTCTGCCCTGGAGCTCCTCCGCTGCTGAGCCACGCGAGCTTTGGTGGTAGTCTTTGTGGCTTGTGCTTGGCTACCAATGCACCAGCCACTTTAGGGCCTTGTTGCCTGAGGCCAGCTCGTCGGCACTTATGTACCTTCAACTATTATTCGGTATATACTATGGACGTAGAAAGCCTCATTTAGAGGGATTGAAAGTCATAATGACTGGATTACATGTGCCCATATGTTACCCTGATTCAGTCGCTCCTCGTAGGTGCGGGAGCGTTGTACTTGGCCAGTAAACCCCGAACCTCGGACGCGCGGGAGAATGCTCCGGTTTAGATCTCTTTTCCTCCACCAAGAATTAGTTCTCCGATCCTCCCTTCTTTTCCGTTTCCCCGTCACTGAGCACCATTCTCTGCCAGGCACCTTGATTCCTTCCCCTCCCTCTCCTCTCCCTTCTTCCTTTTCTTATTTCTGTTCTTCTCCGGAGAGCTTTTCGATAGCGTCATACTTCGATTCTAGCCGTCAGTAATCGCAATGGCTCCCATCACAGAAGAGGTCGTCCACGGTCTGAAGGACATGATCGAGAAGCTTGAGAACCGTGTGCAGGAGTTGGAGGGCCGTCTCGGCGGCGAATCCAAGCCTAAGTCTATCGCCGAGCAGATGCGCATCGTCCTTATGGGACCACCCGGTGCTGGTATGGTCTTTTACAAGAGTTGCCGATTGCGATAATGGCTCCCTGGTTCTAATCGGGTTGTAGGCAAGGGTACTCAGGCGCCTCGGCTTAAGGAGAAGTACTGCGTGTGCCACCTGGTACGTTATTGAATTGCAACCAATTGAGCAAAGTGCGCGTCTGACACCTCTTCTCCAACCTCAAAGGCTACCGGTGATATGCTGCGGTCCCAGGTCGCCAAGAAGACTGAGCTCGGAAAGGACGCCAAGAAGATCATGGACCAGGGTGGTCTTGTCAGCGACGAGATCATGGTCAACATGATCAAGAACGAGCTCGACACCAACACTGAGTGCAAGAACGGGTTCGTACACACGGGCCTTGTTGAAGCTCATTCAGTCAGAAATGGAAAGTGACTAACTGACCAATGTTTCTAGATTCATTCTGGATGGCTTCCCTCGTACTGTTGCTCAGGCCGAGCGTCTGGACGACATGCTCGAAGCTCGTAAGCAGAAGCTCCAGCATGCTATTGAGCTGCAGATCGACGATGCCCTCCTGGTCGCCAGAATTACTGGACGTCTTGTCCACCCTGCCTCTGGACGGTCGTATCACAAAATCTTCAACCCTCCCAAGAACGATATGAAGGATGATGTCACTGGCGAGCCCCTGATTCAACGTTCCGATGACAACGCCGAGACGCTGAAGAAGCGTCTTTCGACTTACCACGCCCAGACCGCCCCTGTCGTCGAATACTACAAGAAGACCGGTATCTGGCGGGGCATTGACGCCAGCCAGGAGCCTGGCCAGGTGTGGAAGAGCTTGCTTGGTGTTTTCCAGAAGTAAATGTAGAAAGTCTTCTGAAAGGTACCATATGGGTTCACGAGCGTGCGTCATACAGCCGCCGTAATATCCCCTGCCGGCAAGGGGAGGAGCGGCATGTGCGAAGGATAGATTCTGAAACGATTCCATGTAATCTGCAAGATGTGCGCGTCTGCCTCTTGGTGGACTACAAAGGAGGGTATTTGGAGAGTCCCTTTGGCGTCCGTACATAAAGATACCTTCAGTGGAATTACAGCGATATGTATAGTATCTTTTGTTTGGCGACCAAAATTCACTATGTTCAGCCGGATAACCCCCGTAGGAAGCCAGCCATGTAAAATAACTCGATCTACGGCCGCGGAGCCAAGTATATATAGATTTCCGCAACCCTTACAGCTGGGTAGGGTAAACAGTGGACTCGATCTTCTCCGGATAGGTCAACCCACCCTGGCGTCTAATCTCGTCCATGACCTCCATGATGACAATGCTCTCTTCCCAAGGCAGCCCATCGCTCTCGAGCTTTCCATCGCGCAAGCACCGCGCCACCTCGTCGGCCTCCCAGTATATGCCCTTCCCATCCGCCGGGAACGGGCACTGCACCTCCTTGATCTCGCCAAGTCCCTTCTTGGGGATTAGACGGTACCGCTCGGGCCGGAAGGCGGGCCCAAAGACCTGAATCTCGCCCTTGGTCCCCTGGATGCGGATTGAGGGACCAGCGGCGCCCTTCTCATCGGGATCGGTCGCGATCCGCAGATGGGTCATGGCGACTGCCTGCGATTGACCGGGCTGGGCATTGTTAGTTGGGGTGGTCGTCGGGAAGGTGAGAAGGATTGTGGTGGCCTCATCGGCGCCAGTCAGGTGGTAGAGAGACATGTGCGCGGAGATGGCCGAAGGAGCTTTGCGCTGCTCCCGGGGAAGAGTGTGGTACATGGTCTGGAAGACCCAGGTCAAGGAGTAGATGCCCACTGCAGCGAAACGATCATCAGAAACCGTGCCAAATGGCTCAGGGGTCCGTAGAAGAAAGAGGAAACTTACGATCCAGCAAGCAGCCACCAGCGAGATCCTTGTTCACCATCCGATGCTGAGTGCCCCATCGCTCCTCAACGTTATCCCCGAAGCTGTTGTCAGCAACCACCCGGAGGACTTCGCCAATGGCACCCTGCTTGATGAGGTCCCGAACCTGCACACTGAGAGGGAAGTACCGGGTCCACACGGCCTCCATCAGGAAAAGGTTCTTCTTCTTCGCTGTCTCGCACAGGATCTTCGCCTGCGCCGCATTGACGGTGAAAGCCTTCTCACAGAGAACATTCTTGCCTGCTTCCAGCGCAAGCATCACATTCTGGAAATGGTGCGAGTGCGGCGTCGCGACGTACACCACGTCCACGTTAGCATCGGCCACGAGTTCTTCGTATGAGCCGTACGCAGCACACGGCGCCGGAATGCCCGTATCAGCAATGAACTTCTCCGCCCGGTCCTTGGCTGAAGAGGAGGCGACGGCAACGACGGTGTGAGAGACGTCAGATGCGTCTCGGAGGTTGGGGTCGCGCAGAAGGTCTCTTACAAAGACTAAGCGTCAAGTGATTGCATTAGCTGTTATGTTTCTCTCGATTGATTATCCATCAATTTGAGGCT